GGCTCCCAATGGATTGAAGTTTTCGCACACCGCCCCGCTGCCTTGCGGGTCAGGCTTTGGTTAGTCGAAGGATCCGGTTGTGAATTCCCTAAAAATATTCATCTACCTTGGACTGGGCAACCTGGCAGTACTCAGCCCACGGACAAATCATGAAACGTTTTTCTTTTTGAGACAGATTTGTTTGGCACACAGGCTAGCGTCAGACGTGAAAGAAAACAATGAATCAATCGGCGAGGACAGTACAACATTAACACCTGATTGGCTGGAGTTGATCGATATTGTGGTAGAATCAGTCCGCATGGCATGAGTGCGTGCATGTGAGCTAGCCAATAGCATCTGTCAATCAAGCAAGCAAGCAACCCGGCCACAGGCAAGCACGACAAAAGTATCAATCATTTGTAGGCCACAAAAGAAGGGAAAGTCAAAAACAGCCGCATGAGAGTGCACTGCGACTGGCTGTATAAAATGAAAATGAGGCGACCCAGCGTATTACCAGTAACCTTGTATCATATTCACATCACTAGTTTTGATTCTGATTGATATCGGAATTAATAACCAACGGTATTTATTTTTTCTCTGCGCCGGATTGCTTGTTCCATTACCGCGGATTTTTGATAACCTTAAGTCCTATATCCGAGGAAGTATGGAAAACGACCTTTGTTGAATGGTAAAATGATTGTATAGTTCGACGAGTTGCATTTAATGGGATTCTAAAAACGACCATTGATAAGCCGCGCTGAATGTTCAATGAGGTGCAAACGAGTCCATGTGTTTGGTTACTGTTGTAATTCGGGATGCGGTGTCATCTGGAAACAGGGATGATTGTAGTCCCAAAATTTTTGAGTAGATCATTTTTTCATGTGCGTAATGGAGGATCTGACTAAATTTCAAATGGGAATTCGTCGTGTCTATAGCAAATGAAGCGTGAACTGCAAAGCTAGGAAGCACTGGACAGCTGTTCCGACCTGGCTGGGTCTCATCAGCAGTGCGAATCCATCGACCCAACTGGGGATCGAACCCGGGACTTCATGGGCATTGCGCAAGCATGCTACCCGCTACGCCACCGAGCAGGTGATCAGACCGTTTTTCATTTTCATTTTCCATTTACACTATATAGCACAACCCATCTTTGCGAGCTTTTTACGGGCCACAGACCCAGCTCATCTCAGCACTGGACTCCAGGGCTATGACTCGGTTGGAAACATTCACAACTTGATTATTTATTTCATTTTACAAAGTCGAATTAGAACATCAAAAGATGATATATTCGGAGAATAAAATACATACAGGCGAAAATTGCACAGCAAAATGAGAATACCATTGAGTGGATTCAAACGACCCAAAATCATGACTCACAGCGAATCGATTGATTCCGCTTGAAGAATTTGGTTGCGTAGCTGTTCAACCCAACTACTGGATTTGGCCGGTACAATCGGTTCATGAGCGACCGGAGGATGCACGGCCAAGCGTACTCCAGCCTCGGTCGGAGTGATATGTTCAGTCTAGTAGGAACACATTGAACAAATAATGTAAGTTCGAACCAAATGCATTTTGAAAACCTGCAACCAAAATGATCCAATTATTCATTTATGGTACGTGTGCGTGTGCATTTGTTAAAAGTCCTCTGAAAACGAATCTTACTTGCACTGTCAGACCTTCTGAGAACCGATCACCGAATGAAGTACGAGATGATGCCCTCGGATGATCAGAGCTGTTAGACTGTGCTTCTAGTCGAGCGGTTAATTCGGCCACTTGATCACGTAGCCTCAGAAGCTCCGCTGCGTCATCACCGGATACGGATTCGGAAACGGCATCCGGATGTTGGTTTTCCGCTGTTGACGTCTACACAGGGGAATAAAAATGGGCTAATTGAGGAAAAGAGTAAATCCGGAAAATAATGTGAATGCGCCTGGTGTACTCAAGTGAGCCATATTGAAACTCGGCTAACGAATACATACTTTCCAACCAGCATCAGTCACGTTTGAAATTCGATGTAAATTCCTTATTCTAAAGACAAAAATCTAAAGCAAGTGAGGCAAAATGGTTCGTCAGTGCACAATAATTGGTGTGAAGTGAATAGGAGTATTTAATGTGCATTGGATGACACGGTCGCTCCAGGTTGTCAGTTACAGACTTTTCGTATACGTGAAAAGTTTAAGGTGGGAAGGGAACAAATAAAGGGACAATATAAAGTCAAATGTTGATGCAAAATGGATGTAATTATAAATTTATCGATCAATTATATGTGTTCAAGTGGGAACAACATTGGATTATGATGTTTCTGACAGTAGATGTTCTCACTCATGCGATCTATTGGTCACGCGTAACCCCTCGAGTTGTTCACAGGTTATACACTGAGCAGCCCCTGAGTTTTTACAGTAGCATATAGGCACGCGTGCGCAGCCAATCGGCGATACCGAGTAAGCGGTGCTGGTGGATATATTACACTCACATTTATCGATGATTCGAGACTCGTGATCCGGGCTTGCAGTGCATCAATTTCCTGTTTGGCCGTGTCCACCGCTTTCTTCAGTTGGTCACGCTCCTCTAGAAGCTTGGATTTGGCACGTTCAGATTCGTCAGCTGCGTCCGCTATTAAAATTATGTCAAGAGAAAAAGAACGCAAATCACAGGGATTTAGCAAAAAAGGTCGTCCTGTGTGTCATCAAATGACATAATTAAACTCCTGATGTTATTCTGTTTCTAAACACAGCTTCTACAGGTCATCACCTTTCTGCGATCGGTCGGTTGAACAACGTAAGACAGCACCGTCAACTACAGTTAAACTGATCTTGATTGAGGAGCTCATCTGGAATCGCTAGGACAGACGGGAAAGCCCTTTTCATTAATTCTGATGTCATCTACGGTTTTCGGTTTTGTACTTCGAGGAACCGAGACACACTGGTGTACCCAATTCTCGGAACACGTAAACGCGCACGAAACTCCAAAGTCTAATATTCTTGCACCGCTTTACAGCGATGCGACCCAACGGATTCGCACGTGAATGCGATACGTTTCAGAACAGTGTAAATAAAATGCGTGAGAGAACAGCGGCTTAGGAAATGCTTCAAATGCATGCAGCAATGAGTGGCTCTTGGGAATCTACGGGAGTACATGATGGGATAATTAACTCTCACAAATACAATACACTGATGAGGTGCTATGCGAAGGTGTAAATCTGTGTGGGTTGTTTTAACCACGAAAAACAGACAACTGATGAGACTAAGCGTTTAATGACAGTGTTTTAGAACGGTCACAAAATGTGGAGTTGATGCTGTTCAAGAAATAAACTTTCTTCTTCTAAACAATATAATACACTGCAGCTCGTATGTATGTATACGCCTCAAACAAGGAAACCATCTGAAAGGAAACTCCACTGGTTATTGCAGACAACCTATGCTGCGATTCACAGTCACACAAGGGCAGATCATTGAACTAGCTTTATGAAAAAGAATGTGTAAAATAAGATGTCAAAGCAAATCATCAACCAGTTGCCTGCCGTAGATGTGTAGATCAGCCGTTTGGTCCTTGGGCCTCTTATGCTTCAGCCATTTAGTTCAGCCGATTCGCTACTTTATTCCAGCGAGAATTCGGTAGCAGCGGTCAAGTGTGTACACACAGTTTT